ATTAATTATATTAGAGGTAGGGAGAGTTAGATGGTTGTGACTATTTTCTTCCACTATTTGATCTGAGGAAGTGGGTCTGGCTCACGAAAGCTCATCATCTAATAAACCATCTTGTTAGTCTTTAAAGTGCTACATAGTCCTGTATTTTGCTTCACCTCCTCTTTAAAACAGTCTTCTACATATTCAAAGGCTGTCATGCCCCCCCTGCCCCATCTTCTGCAGCCTAAACTAACCAATTTTTTTTTCAGTTTTTACTCAAAGGTCTAGAGCCTGTGTGGATACAAATTTTGTATCTGCAAAAATGAGCTGGGGATATACGCTTTGTCATCTGTAGATGAGGATGCCCATGGATATAACATAGATATCTGTAGATTTGTAGGGTTCTAGATACAAAATTTGTATCTGCATCCATATCAGCAAAAATGAGCTATGGAATATCCATATCTGCAGATGTAAGTATCCACGGATATCTGTAGATTTCCAGGGCTCTACTCATAGGGCATCTTTTCTAGACCTTTAATCAGTTTTGTTGCTCTTTTCCAGACTTTGTCCATTTTTTCTACATTTTTGCTGAAATGTGCTCAGAACTGGTGCATCAGTGCTAAGTAGAGTGGAAGAAATACTTCTCGGCTACGTCTACACTGGCCCCTTCTTCGGAAGGGGCATGCTAATTTTGAACTTGGGAATAGGGAAATCCACGGGAGATTTAAATATCCCCCGCGGGATTTAAATAAACACGGCCGCCGCTTTTTTTCCGGCTTGGGGAAAAGCCGGAAAAAAGCGTCTAGACTGGCGCGATCCTCCGGAATAAAGCCCTGTTCCGAAGGATCTCTTATTCCTACTTTTCCGGAGGATCGCCCCAGTCTAGACGCTTTTTTTCGGCTTTTCCCCAAGCCGGAAAAAAAGTGGCAGCCATGTTTATTTAAATCCCCCGCGGATTTCCCTATTCCCAAGTTCAAAATTAGCATGCCCCTTCCGAAGAAGGGGCTAGTGTAGACGTAGCCCTCATGTCTTGCTTACAACTTTCCTGCTAATACATCAGAATGATGTTCACGTTTTAAGACAAAACATATTATTTACGGCTTTTCCCCAAGCCGGAAAAAAAGTGGCAGCCATGTTTATTTAAATCCCCCGCGGATTTCCCTATTCCCAAGTTCAAAATTAGCATGCCCCTTCCGAAGAAGGGGCTAGTGTAGACGTAGCCCTCATGTCTTGCTTACAACTTTCCTGCTAATACATCAGAATGATGTTCACGTTTTAAGACAAAACATATTATTTATATGTAACAAATGATGGGAAGGGGATGACAAAAGTAACATCAATAAAAACATCTCTCTGTGTACATAATCTGATGGTTCTTCTTCGGGTGATGTCCCCATGGGTGTTCCGCTGTTGGTGACAAGTCATCCCTGGAGAGCAGTCAGAAGCTTTTCTTAGCAGTTGTCAGTCGGGCTGTGCATGTGCTGAAGGCAGCTCACACTATTGGCAGTTTTCCGCCCTGCACGCATGGCCCAGCTCCCCCCTTCAGTTCCTCTAACCGTCCTTGGTTGCATAGAGCTTCTCTCTCACCTCAGGTGTTCATTCTCTTCACACAGTTTCCTGTTATTATTTCAGTTCTATTACTGTTACAATGTTATTCTTTAGTTGTTACGGGCTATTTGTTCTTAAAAAAAACCAAAACAAACAACCCTGGATCCTGAAGTACCGCCTTACTGGCGGTGGCTACGTTTCTCCTTACGCCTGCCTATTCTGTCCCTTCCCCTTTCCTCATTCATTAAAAACAAAACAAACAAAAAAAGAAAGAAAGAGAACCACCGTACTGCTATGATGCTCAGTTCTCAGTACTTTAAGAACTGCCTTAAGTGTAATGACCCCTTGCCAGCCTCGGATGGACATGATGCTGGTATACGCTATTTGGGGGAGTCGCATGTCCCTCCAAAATGCGATCACTGCCGGAGCCTTACCACAAGGGTGAGAGAGGACCGGGAGCTTTGGCTCTGTATGATTTTTTTTTTTGAGGTAGAGCAGAATGCTAAGCCGTTGTGGAATCAGGGTCTGAGCACACAGATTTGCATTTTATAGTCACTGAGAAATAATTGTACTCTTATGCAAATCGGCCACCTCTTTATCCAGTCACTGTGCAGGGATTTACATAAACAAAAAATAATTGTTTAGGGGTGAGTCAACAATTTTCAGTTACCCTATATTCAAGGAGCTTTTTCATGTGCTGATTTGAAAGGGAAATTTGAGAATATAATTTATACCTCTTATCTCCCATTTATTGTAATAGGTTGCGGAATGAGGAACTAAATATGAATTGCAATAAGATTTTATTAGAAAAAGAACAAATAGCACAAGAGAAAAGTGATTCTGTTATAGACCTCAAGAAACTACAAGAAGTTCATAAGGCAAGTTGAGAAGTAAACTTACTTTCTTTTGGAAGACGCTACTCACTTAAAGTGATAAAGTATATAAGGTATATTGAAATATGACCCAAGACCATTTTCATTATATTAATTTTGAAACATCACAATTTTTGTACTTTAGAATACAAATGGTGAAATTCATCGTGTGCTGAGGATCTGGCAAGGCATATGTACTCAAAATGAATTTCCCTCAAATAAATAATTGTATGTATCTTTATTTAGGATAACAGAAAGAAAGAAGAAAAGACTAAGAAGCTAATAGAAAACCTTGAAGAAATGAACAGCCAGCTAAGGGAAGAAAAAACAAATATAAATAGCATGTGCTCAGAAAAAGTTGTATTTACTTTATTTACCATTAGATGTTGGTGTGATACTTTTTATATATAAATACATTTGTAAATTTGTTAATCTGAATTCATAGAAAACATTTTTACTCTGTATATTAATGAAATGGGTCTTAAACTCTTTCTGATGACTTTCGGAGCACCTAGTATTGATAAACACTTTGTTCCATCTTTCCTGAAGAGGCAGAGGTAACAGAGAAGAGTCTTGCTTTTGATGGCTGTCAGCCATGCAAGCACTCTCCTGCATCATTTACCAGCCTTCACTTTGCCTTGCAGGTGTGCTCAAATTCCTCCGGAGCATTCCCCTATGATACCCAATCCCTGACTTCGGTTACTCACAGAAATCCCAGATCCTCTGCCCTCAAAGGAGCAGCATACTAAAGTTTAACATTAACCTCCCTTCCTGTATAAGATAAAGTATTATAAAATAACCAAAAAGTTCATTAGGAAACTACAGTGATTCTACTAGAAATCAGAGTATTGGAAGCAGATGGTGGTTCTTCGAGGAATGTCCCTGTTGGTGTTCTACCGTAGGTCTGTGGGGTGCTGCTGTGTGCCTAGTTGGGGATTTGCAGTAGCAGTGCCCTCTGGTAGGCTGTGCACGTGCGGCAGATGGTACATTCGGCGCTGCTTCCATGCATACATAGTCAGCCGTTCCTTCAGTTCTTTCTCTGCTGTTGCTGGCATCAGTCTGAACCGAAGTTGCTCTCCAATTTTTTTCTAAAGCATTTTGAATTTTTCTTTGTTAATCTCAACAGTTAGTGTTACAGTTCTTTCTAGTTAGTAGTTAACGTTTTTTCTCCTAGTTTCTTAAAAAAAATTCTCTTTTCTCCTGTTCTACCTGGCTACCTTTTTTGGCCTTGCAGACTTGTACTACCAGGGTTGCCTTGTTCCCGAGGATTCAAACGTTGCCTCTCCTGCAGGCTATCTATCCCCATTTCAGACAGCCATTCCTAGTGTGTGTACTATTTGGGTCAGGGATACGCTACTGCACAGTGCCAGCATTGCAGGTAGTTAACGGCTCACATGCAAAAGGCATGGGAGCTTCAACTGAAAATTCTATCACTTGAGAATAAGGTGAGACTTGCCTCAGCCCGAGAACACTTTCTCCCCTATGCCAGCCATCCCCCTTTGCCATGTCTGAAAAGGCCATGTCTGCCAGCTCTACCTCAAGAGACCCTTCCTCTGAGCAATCTAGGAAGAGATCTCATTCATCAGGGAAAGGTGACTCTCCCTCAAAAAACGGGAGCAAGCACCCAAAGTACCCCCTGCTATTGCACTGGACAGGGAGGTTCCAGGATTGTTTAGCACAAACTTGTTTTTTGAATGATGTCCCTGTGGGTGCTCCACTGTAGGTGTTGGGCTCATCCCGGCGCAGCAGATCGGAGACTTTGATAGCAGTAGTTGGCCGGACCGTGCATGCACAGTCAGCATCTTGTGATGTTCGCACCTTTCTCTCATGCACAGTCCAGTTCCCGCCAGTTCCTTCGTTACTGCCCTCGGTTGCAGACGGAGAGAGCTCTTCTCCTTAAAATTACCACTTTATCCTTTCATAGTGTACATAGTTATAGTTCTTGTTCTATTGCTAGTTAGTTAGTTAAAGTTAATTGTTTTAAAAAAAACCTTCCCCGTTTACTTTCCTTCACCAAAAAAAAAAAAAAAGATGAAAATAAAAGGAGATTTGAGTGTATGTCAACAGCCCTCCCTCCTACAATGCCCGGATCACTGGGCTTCAAGAAATGTGCATCATGCTGGGAAGCCATGCTGGCCTTTGATGGGCACTCAGCATGCATTCAATGCCTTGAAGAGGCCCATGTGCCGCAAAAATGTTCTCATTGCTGCAAGCTCACCACAAGAGCTCATCAAGATAGGGGGAGGTGTTAACGCATGCTCCTCTTCAACAAGGCGTTGTAGCCTCCCGATACTTCACTGGATGAAAATTTACCAGACCCTCATATGGCTTCAAAACGCAGGGCTTCTCCCCCAGTGGTGGGGTCTACCCTGAAAAAGCGCTTTTCACCTGCGTGCTCCTTGCCGCCTGTACTGGTGATTGGAACTAAGACCATGGGTAAGCCCGGTACTTCTGGCACCATGGTGGCATGGCCAACGGCTGCCTCGGACCCCAAGGGTTGGCACCGGGCTCAGTCGGTGCTGTCAACAGAAAAGGATTCACAGTACTCAGCACCCAAAGTTTCATCAGTACTGGCAGCCGCACAAACGAGTTAGCCGGCACTACAACCTCTTGCACCGACTCCAGTGCCACAGCCCCTGGCATCAGCTGCGTTCTCTGCACAAGACCTGGCACCTAGCTCCTCTGTCCCTCCTTTCCAACGTACTTCCCCAGCACCGATCGCAGCACATGCATCGCTGTCACCGAGGAAAGTACAGGCAAAATCTTACACACCTGTCAGTCCCAGTCCTTCCCCAACCTTCTCACCAGAACCGTCTCCATCGCCAACGACACCAAGGTCACCGCTGCGACATAGATCTTCTCCACCTTTACCACCAACACCGGGGCGGGCATATCCTCAAATTAATCATCCATGATGTATGTCCCCCTCTCCTTCGTCATTGAGAGGTTCTGTAACTCTCCATTCGCCAAACATGTCGACCCGTGAGAGTCATTGGGAGGAACATAGGAGCATCTACTCTTCCAGGAAGCCCTCCCCTATATATCGATACCATGGTCACCACCGGTACTACTTCTATCATCCCTGCTGTTCGCACTATAGCCAATGATACTACCCTTCCTCAAGACATTGGTCCTCCTGCAGTTATCGATCCAGCTGCAGCCAACATGACTCACCTCCTCCAAACACTTCTACACAACATCAGCCCCTCCCCCCCATCACTCTTGAGGTGAAAGAGGGACAAATCTCTGAGCCTGACAAACAACAACCGGACACATCACCAACAGGTCAATCCTTCTCACCAGACGAGGCTGTTATTCCGGGTGATACATCCCCTCCTGACAACCTTAAGGTGTTCCAGGAACTATTTAAAGAGTGGCTGCTAGCCAAGAGGTACAGCTAACAGAGGTCCAGGAGGGACAATATAGTCTCCTTAAGAATTTGCAGTCATCCCAGCGGGCAAAGATCACATTACCAATCGATGAGGCAATCATGGAGTCTGCTGAAGAGATATGGCAGACCCCTGCCTCTGTGCTTCTGACTAATAAAAGGGCCGAAAAAATATTTTGTGCCGACCAAGGGTTCTGAATTCTTATTTTCACATCCAGAGCTGAACTCCTTGGTCATTGATGCCACCCAACAGAAGGCAAAAGCCTCTCAGTATGAGAATGCCTCAGGAGAAAAGGACAATACATGAATGGACCTCTTCGGCAGGAAGGTATTTTCCTCCTCCACACTGTTACTATATATCCAATTATGTGGCTCTGTTATCGAACCATAATTTCGATAACTACACCAAGCTGACGGCATTGATGGAGCACTTGCCAGACGCCAAGAAGCTTATTTTAAAATCTGTCATGCAGGAGGGCTACGCCTCTCCCAGGACGGGACTACAAATTGCTGTGGATGTGGTGGACACAGCAGTTTGATCTACTGCCACTGCAGTTGTCATGAGGAGATCATAATGACTACAGAATGCAGGAGTCCTGCGTCAGCTCCAAAATAAGGTGGAAGACCTCCCGTTTGACAGACAAAAATATTTGAAATATTTGAACCGCAGGTCAGCCATTAGTGTCCCAATTTCTCTCATCCTTTTGGCTGGAGCATGTTTTGAATGCCTTCTAGAAAGTGCTTAGTTGTTGGGTTCATGAATACTAATTTGTTTTTGATGGGTTGGTGAAAGGCTGTTATGGCCGCGAGGTGTGTTTTCAATGAACTAAACGAGAGACCTGAGTGTTTTATGGTTTAAAAGATATGCTAATATATCAGATCGTGGGATTGTTCATGGATTTGTGGACTTCTGACCCACCCAAAGGGAGAATCTTAGCCACTTCTGGAGGTAAGATTTTCTCGTTGTTACTCAGATTAAGGTCCCATGTAGGGGTTGGCACCCTACAACGTGGACAGAGATCGTGAAGACTTTTGAGGAACCTCCCTGATAGTGGGTGTACAAATACTGAAGCCCCCTCAATTCGTCTGTGGAAGACTGAGATGGCAGCCAGGTGGACCTCGACTGAAGAAACAGATAACCCATCAGTTTTCAGGGTGCATAAGTAGTCCAGAATGGTTTGTATTGGAGCTTCATTAGGATCAACTTGTGTATGCTGACACCAAGAGGCAAAAAACCTCTATTTCTGCAAGTAAGTCACCCTATTGGACTGTCTCCTGCTGTTCAATAGGACCTCTCTCACTGGTCATGGAACCATCAAGGAGCCATGTGCAGAAGTGCAGGTTCGGGTGATGCAGCTTGCCCCTGTTCTGGAATAGCAGGTCATGTCGGAGTGGCAAGGGGTAAGCTGGTTTGAGAGACAAGTCCTGAAGGGCTAAAAACTAAATTGGTCTGGACAAAGCGGGGGCTATAAAAATAACTCTACCACCATGCAGACAAATTTTGTGTTCAAAGTACACACCCCAACCCAGGAGTGAAGCGACTGTGGTAATTTATATGGCAGGCTCCTCCTGTAAAAACAAGATCCCTGCTAAGAGGCTGCGTGGACATGTCTACCGTCTGAGCAACTGCAGTACTTGCTCGGGCACAAGCATCAGTTTGTGCAACAAATGATGTGAGGGCATGTAAACTGATGCTAGCCAATGCTATAAGGCATGGAAATGGAGACATGCATACTGTACCACATATGTAGTTGCCACCACGTACCCCATGAGTTGAAGGCAGGTACAGACTGTAGTGGATGGATTTGTGATGAGAGTGAGAACCAAATCTTGAAGGGTATGGAACCTGTGTTGCAGAAGGTATGCCCTGGCTGATGTGGCATTGAGGCTTCCTCCTATGAATTCTAAGTCCTGAACTGGATTGTGTTGACTTTTGTTCATTGATTAAAACTCCCAGCAAGTTGAACAACTGATTGGTTCTTCTTATGTCAATAGCTTCCCCTTGTGAATGACCTTTCAGTAAGCAGTCATCAAGATAAGGAAAAATCATCACTCCCTGTCTGAGGTATGCCACTACGACTGTGAAGACTTTAGAGAAGACCCACAGGGCTGTCGACAGACCAAAGGGACCTTGTATTGAAAATAGTCCTGTCCCACTTTAAAGCGAAGGAAACATCTGTGTGATGGATGTATGGTTATGTGGAAGTACGTGTCTTGTAAGTCGAGGCTGTAAATCAGTCCCCTACTGAGACTAGTGCGACCATTTTGAAGCAATGTTTCCGTAGGAATTTGTTCAGCTTCTGGAGATCCAGGATTGGCCTCCAGCCTCCTGTGCAATTCTGGGGGAGGAAATGCATTGAATGAAAGCCCTTTCCCCAGTATGGAGCAGGAATCCTTTCTATGGTTTTTGGTTGAAGAAGCTGCTTGATTTCACAGAATCATAGAATCATAGGACTGGAAGGGACCTCAAGAGGTCATCGAGTCCAGCCCCCCGCCCTCAAGGCAGGATCAAGCTCCGTCTACACCATCCCTGACAGATGTCTATCTAACCTGTTCTTAAATATCTCCAGAGAGGGAGATTCCACCACCTCCCTTGGCAATTTATTCCAATATTTGACCACCCTGACAGTTAGGAATTTTTTCCTAATGTCCAATCTAAACCTCCCCTGCTGCACTTTAAGCCCATTACTCCTTGTCCTGTCCTCAGAAACCAAGAGGAACAAATTTTCGCCTTCCTCCTTGTGACACCCTTTTAGATATTTGAAAACCGCTATCATGTCCCCCCTTAATCTTCTTTTTTCCAAACTAAACAAGCCCAGTTCATGAAGCCTGGCTTCATAGGTCATGTTCTCTAAACCTTTAATCATTCTTGTCGCTCTTCTCTGTACCCTTTCCAATTTCTCCACATCTTTCTTGAAATGTGGCGCCCAGAACTGGACACAGTACTCCAGCTGAGGCCTAACTAGTGCAGAGTAGAGCGGCAGAATGACTTCATGAGTTTTGCTTACAACACACCTGTTGATACAACCCAGAATCATATTTGCTTTTTTTGCAACAGCATCACACTGTTGACTCATATTCAACTTGTGGTCCACTATGACCCCTAGATCCCTTTCCGCCATGCTCCTTCCTAGACAGTCGCTTCCCATCTTGTATGTATGGAACTGATTGTTCCTTCCTAAGTGGAGCACTTTGCATTTCTCTTTATTAAACCTCATCCTGTTTACCTCTGACCATTTCTCTAACTTGCTAAGGTCATTTTGAATTATGTCCCTATCCTCCAAAGAAGTTGCAACCCCACCCAGTTTGGTATCATCTGCAAACTTAATAAGCGTACTCTCTATCCCAATATCTACATCATTGATGAAGATATTGAACAGTACGGGTCCCAAAACAGACCCTTGAGGAACTCCACTTGTTATCCCTTTCCAGCAGGATTTAGAACCGTTAACAACAACTTTCTGACTACGGTTATCCAGCCAATTATGTACCCACCTTATCGTGGCCCTATCTAAGTTATATTTGCCTAGTTTATCAATAAGAATATCATGCGAGACCGTATCAAATGCCTTACTAAAGTCTAGGTATATGACATCCACCGCTTCTCCCTTATCCACAAGGCTCGTTATCTTATCAAAGAAAGCTATCAGATTAGTTTGGCATGACTTGTTCTTCACAAACCCATGCTGGCTATTCCCTATCACTTTATTACCTTCCAAGTGTTTGCATATGATTTCCTTAATTACCTGCTCCATTATCTTCCCTGGGACAGACGTTAAACTGACCAGTCTGTAGTTTCCTGGGTTGTTCTTATTCCCCTTTTTATAGATGGGCACAATATTTGCCCTTTTCCAGTCTTCTGGAATCTCCCCTGTCTGCCATGATTTTTCAAAGATCATAGCTAAAGGCTCAGATACCTCCTCTATCAGCTCCTTGAGTATCCTGGGATGCATTTCATCAGGACCTGGTGACTTGCTGACATCTAACTTTCCTAAGTGATTTTTAACTTGTTCTTTGTGTATCCTATCTTCTAAACTTACCCTCTCTCATTTTTTGATGATCCAAAAAATTTGCATAGACAATGTATACGTTTATTCTCATTGCCCCAATGTGGCCCAGACAGACATGGTTCCCTTACCTTTTTTGCCTCACATTTTTTCCTTCTACTAGCTTCCACAATATCCTGATTTTCTGTTGCAGAACAGCAGAACCCTGCCTCTACATCCCCAAAAACTTAATCTTCAGATATGGTTCCTCAGTGGTTCCAAAATGAGGTAACATGCTCAGAAGCAGTAAAACCTATTCTCCTAAATTACAAATGATCTACAGCAAGGGTTACCTACCTCCAAAAATGGAAAAAATTCTCTCTTTGGTGTAAGTACAAGCAGCTTGACCTCCATAAAGTGCCACTACCTGCTGTCCTAGACTACCTACTGGAATTGAAACAGTCTAGCTTAGCTATTACCTGTATGAGTCCACCTCTCTGCCATTATGACATTTCACTTCCACATCAATGGTTTTTCTGTTTATGCTCACCCCCTACCAGACGCTTTCTACAGGACATCCAGAATGCATATCCTCCAATCAGACAACCCATACTAACATGGGGCATCAACCATGTCCTAAAACCCCTCACCTGGCCACCTGCTCACTTTTATACCTCTCCATGAAAGTTGCACTCCTGGTAACTATCACTTCAGCTGGGAGAGTAAGCGAGATCAGGGCACTTATGGATGAACTACCTTATACCATCTTCACAAAAGACAGTCATCCTGTGTCCACACCCAACCTTTTTACCAAAAGTACCTACTGTCTTCCATATGAACCAACCAATTCCTGACAAGGACCAACCAGAAGCTATTTTGCATTCCTTAGACATATGATACGACTTAGCTTTCTATATAAATAGAATTAGGCCCTTCCGTAAGTCACAACAGATATGCATCTCCATTGTCCAGTGCTCTAAGAGAATGGTAATCTCTATGTAACAGTTGTCCAACTGGATCTCTACTTGAATAAAAATGTTTTATACTCTCTGAGACAAGCTACCTCCCCACAAACTAATGAGCTCTTTCTACATGAGGCATGGTGATCTCAATTGCCTTTTTATACAATGTTCCATTACAGGTTATCTGTCGGGCAGCTATATGGATGTCAAAACACACTTCTGGTAAAATACTATGTGATCATTTCTGGCCCCATTCCTGACACAAAAGTGGGCTTACCAGTCTTATACTCCACTCTTAACTCTGAATCCCACCAGCCAATGAGGGTATTCCATGGTAGTCTCCTACAGTGGAGGGTCCATAGGGGCATTACTTGACGAACAAGAAGTTACTCACCTTGTGCAGTAACAATGGATCTGTGGCACTGGGATGACCTAACACCTACAATGGAGTACTTACAAGGGGACACATCTTGAAGAACCATCGTTACAGCACAAGGTGAATAAATTCTTTTGAGTTTTCTGAGAAAAACCCTTTAATTGTAGAGGAAGCATTAAGAAAATAGTATATACAACATTATTAGTTAAATGTGGAAAAATTGAGACATAAGTATTATGGAGAAGAGGAATCCTATTAAATTTTACCTTCTGAAATTTATATTTTGACAAGTCTCATTGTTAATCTGCCTTCCACAATATGGATATAGATGTTATGAAGATAACTTACTAGATGTATAGCACTTTTTAGGCCTGTGAAAAGTAAGTACAGCTCAGAAGTGAAAGTCTAGGCCACTGCCTAACCCTGTGGGAACATCTTCAAAGATTGGCTTAACACACCATTAATAATTGCAATAAAGGAAGCTGCCTTTCTAGCCTTGAGCTAAAAGTGTTAAGTGTCCTTTAGTAGTAGAGAAAGAAATTGTAAGTTTTTAGCTAAATATTTTCTAATACTTATTAATTTGTCATTTAGAAATGACCTGGAGTCTCTGAAGGAGAAGATGAAAAAGAAAGACGAAGAGGCTAAAACTAAATTGGATGAAAGTGAAGAAAATGTATGAGGATATATAAAGTACTACCTCTTATTTTGAAAAAGCTATAGCACAAAATATCTGAGCCCCAAAAATTATTCTTTGGAAATAGATGGGGACAGTATAAAATAATAGCAGTGTAGGAAGGAGTTGATTGGGATGCTTTCCAGGAGTATGCAGAGTTGTGATGCTTGTTACCACCTGCCCTTAGAGCAGGGGTGAGCAATAATTTTCTAAGGGGACCACTTCACAAATTTCGGAAGGGACGTGGTGTCGGGCGGAAGGGACGGGGTTGAGAGCTATCCTACCGGGAGCTTTGCTTGGCCTGGGGGTCCCTGCCCCCTGACTTACGGCCAATGGAAGGGACCTGGAGCAGAGGGGAGGGTGCTGGGGGCTAGCCTCCTCCCAGAGTTGTCTGGGGTGGAGGCTTAGATTTCATATAATAGGGTTTGCAGTTCTTGGCCCCCACTGCTAACCTGTTGTCTGGAAGCTGCCCAGAAAGCACAAGCCCTTTGAATAGAACCAGTTGAAAGGGCTTGCGCCTCCTGGACAGCTCCCAGGCCGCAGGCCAGTGCGGCAGAGCTATGAGCTCTTTTCAATTGCTTCTGTTTAAAGAGCTTGCGCCTGCAGGGTCGCTGCCACATAATGCAGCCACCTAGCAGGTGAGTCCTTTAAATAGAAACAGTTGAAAGGGCTTGCTTATCTGGCTCCCTAGCAACATGCTAGAGGTATGGGGAGCTGCGAGCCCTTTTAAGTGCTTCTGTTATCTGGCTCCCTAGCAACATGCTAGAGGTATGGGGAGCTGCGAGCCCTTTTAAGTGCTTCTGTTTAAAGGGCTGGTGCCTTCCCTGCATCTGTCAGGCAATGCAATGCCTAGCAGCCACGGGGAACACGAGAGCCCTTTATAGAAACAGCTGAAAGGGCATGCAGCTCCCTGCACCTCTAGCATCTTGCCAGAGATGCCCAATCCCTTTCAGCCCTTTCTATGTAAAGAGCTCTTGTGTTCCCTGCGGCTGCTAGGTAATGCTGCTTGACAGGTGTGGGGAAGGCATGAGCCCTTTAAATAGAAACTTTTAAAAGGGCTCCCAGCTCCCCATGCCTCTAGCGCGTTTCTAGGGAGAAAGAGAGGCAAGCCCTTTCAGCTGTTTCGATTTAAAAGGCTTGTGCTTTCCCTGCATTGCTAGGGAGCCAGAGACCTGAGCCCTTTCCACTGCTGCTGTTTAAAGGGCTAGCACTTCCCCATGGCTGCTAGGCAAGGTGCAGGGAAGACACAAGCCCTTTAAATAGAAGCAGTTAGAAGGACTCACATCCCTCTCCCTCTCTGAGGCAACACACTAGGAGGCAGGGCCTGGAACCCTAACCAGATCTGGCCCACTGAAAGGCTTTTGCCCACCCATGCCTTAGAGTGAGGAGGTCTTATCTATCCCTATTGTGGATCAGCTCCCTAACTGTACTGGCCTCTGACAACACAAATACTTTCTTCCAGGCATCCTTAGGCCTTGCACTCTCTGTACAGGTTAGTGATAGAAACATGCCAAATCCCACATTCTCCAAGTGTGTTTCTAAACTGCCTAGTTTCTGTTCCACTGAATGTTCACAGAACTTTCAGTTCTTCGAGTGCTTGCTCATGTCCATTCAACATAGGAGTGCGCATTTTCCATGTGCACTGATGCCAGAAGATTTTCCCTCTGCTGTATCCATAGGGGACCGGCTTCAGCGACCACCCCCATCACCTCTCAATGAAGGTATTCCATCATGGACATCTGCAGAGCAGCAGCATGGACGTTGGTCCATACATTCACCAAATACTATATAACAGAACAATATTTCTCAATGTGGACATGCACTTTGGATAGTCCTTATTAACAATGGTACACAGACATTGCAAAGTCCTGCCTTCCACAAAAAGACATTACTCCATAGTCATCTAACGTTGAGCACCCCTACAGACCCACCTTGTGCAAAACTTAAAAAATGAATCATCTTTAACACCTCGATACTAACAAAAATATATGTAGTATCATGAGCTTTCGTGGGCGCAACCCACTTCTTTAGATGAGTGGAGCAAAAGGCACAGAAACTCCAAATTTAAAGCACAAAAAGTAGGGAGAGGGAGAGGAAAAGAAAAACCCTGTCAGTTACAGTGCCCATGCTAAATGAGGCTAATAGAGTGAGCTGTAAGTGTCCAATACTTAGCTTTTGATGTCATTAGGGTGTTGAAGTACTTTGAGATGGTTGTTCCTGTGGGTACTCCATGATACTCCTTTCTCCCCTCTACTTTGGATCAACATGGCTGGTCAGGGTAGAGAAGGAACTGAGGGTATATCTATGCTTGCATCCTAGTTCAAACTAGGGATTCAAATGTAGGCATTCAAAATAGTCAATAAAGCGGGGATTTAAATATCCCATGCTTCATTAGCATGATCTCGCCAGTGCGTTGCTCCGATCAACAGCTGTTTCGAAAGTGAAAGTGCGCGCCAGGACGTGTTAGTTCGAACCAAACCCCTTGGTTTGAACTAACGTTATTCCTCATTTTTTGAGGAGTAACATTAGTTCTTCGAGTGGTCCCCGTGGGTGCTCCATTCTGGGTACTGGTGCGTCCTCGTGCTGGCAACTGGAGACTTTTTCTAGCAGTTTCTGCCGAGCCACAGAGGCGCCGCAGCACCCTCTCATGCCCTTGGAATCTTCAGGTGCCTGCGCGGTGAGGCCCCTCAGTTCCTTCTCTACCATCCTTGGCAGCAGACGGAGACTCTCTTTCTCTCAAAGTCCTGTTAAAAAATAGAATACCCAGTTTTACCCCATAGTTTCCTCACCATCCAAGTTTTTTAGCCCTCTTATCATTCCCAGTCAAGTTAAAAAATTTTTTTCTCTTATTGAGGTTTGCCGCTTCCCTGCCTCATGCCTGGCTCCCCGGGCTTTAAGAGATGTGAGTCATGCCCGTGTCTGATGGGCACTCCAAGTGCATAAAGTGCCTAGGGGAGTCACACCAGAGGCAAAAGTGCCCTCACTGCTCAAAACTTACTGCAAGGGCACGCCGTGACTGGGCCAACAGGCTAAAGACACTTCTCTACGAGAAGTCCCTTTGCTCTTCTTCAGAGGACTCTTCCACAGCTTCAAAGGTGGCCTCACTGAGTAAAGGTATGGATAAAGATCATCGCTCTACCCTCTCCGGCCCTGCAGCTGCGAAAACAGGCCTTTCCCCATCTCCCTCGCTACCCTCGGCACCGTCAGCTGCACGGGTCAGCACGGAGGATACACTAGGAATTTCAGGTATGGCACCGTCAAAGTCGGCACCGCATAAAAGAGCTCACTCGGAGCCGAAGCAGAGGCTGGTGGCACCACAGGCTACTGCACTGGACGTTTCCTCGGCACCGGCCGCACCAGTGGGCCAGCACAAAGACTGGACAGTACTGAAACACCATACCAAAGAGGCACCGTCATCCACTCCGAAGAAGCCCCGAATCAACATGCCTCCACCAAGTCATACAGCACCGGAGCTACCTCAATCTCCATTCCTATGTGCAGAGGCCATCAAATTCTGGAATTGGTGCCTCACACATCAGGTCACTCCAGTAGCTGCTTACCTCCTGGGAGTACTCAATGACACAGCAGATACCCTAAGCTGCACGTTCCACGATCAGCACGAATGGGAGAAAGACAGACATGCTCTCACTCCCCTCTTCCTACAGTGGGGCCAACCAGACATAGACTTCTTTGCCATAAAAAGCAACAAAAAGTACCATCTCTATTGCTCCAGAGGAGAACTGGGAAAACATTCCCTCAGAGACGCCTTTTCCATCACATGGGGTGCTCCCCTTCTTTATGCGTTCCCTCTCTTCCACCTTCTACACAAAGTCCTCAACAAAATCAGAGTGGACCAGGCTTGGGTGATATTAGTGGCACCCGCGTGGCCCAGACAGACGTGGTATCCTTACCTTCTCAGGATGACGATGACAGACCCGAACCCCTTCTCACTCCAACACGATCTTCTGTCACAGCATCACAGGAAGACACTCCATCCGGACCTCCACAAGCTCCATCTCCACGCTTTGCTCCTTCATGGCTGCAGGATGCTGAGATTACCTGTTCGGAACAGGTGAAAGAAATATTAATCAACAGTAGAAGACAATCCACCAGGAAAACATACAAATGGAACTGCTTTTCTCACTGGCACAATCACCTACACACACCTCCGGAGTCTGCTCCCTTCCGTACTACTTTGTTGGACTATTTATTATCTCTCAAACAGTCAGGCCTCACCCTTAGCACTATTGAGGTCCATGCAGCTGCCATAGCTGCCTTTCATCATCCTATCGATGGAGTTTCCTTCCTCGCTAACCCATTAACTAAACACTTCCTTAAAGGTCTGCCAAACACCTTCCCTCCAATAGGTTCACTGGTCCCCATCTGGGATCTGAACCATGTCCTAAAAAGCCTGATGAAGCCACCATTCGAACCTCTAGTGACCTGCGGTCTCATCTGTCTATGAAGGTGTCGTTTCTCGTCGCAATTACCTCCAGCAGGAGGGTAAGCGAACTCACAGCCTTGATGGCCGATCCTCCATACACAGTGTTCACAAAGGACAGAGTGATACTCCGACCGCATCCGAAGTTCCTCCCCAAAGTACCTTCCCCCTTCCACATTAACAAACCCATACACTTACCTGCCTTCTTTCCGAAGCCACATGCCAACCCAATCCAGGCTGCATGGCACACTCTCGACGTCCGACGGGCACTGGCATTTTATGTCGGTTGCACTAAGCCGTGGCGAGCCTTACCTAGGCTTTTCATCTCCTACTCTGAAAGATCTAGAGGACAAGCAGTCTCGTCTCAGAGAATGTTGATATGGATCACCTCATGTATCAGAACTTGTTATACCTTCTACAATAAACACTTACCCGAAACCATTACGGCTTATTCCACCAGGGCAGTGTCTTCCACAACTGCCTTCCTTAACGACGTTCCTCTTAGGGACATTTGCAATGATACCACTTGGTCATCTGACCACACATTTCCACAACACTATGCACTCTCCTCTTTGATTGCATCCTCCATGGCGGTGGGACATGTAGTACTGTCCACAGTGACTACCACCTGGCTCCAAACTCACCTCCACGAGCCGACAACTACTCTGTAGTCACCCAGAGTGGAGCAGCTACAGGGACCACTTGAAAAAGGAGTTATTCACCTTGTGCAGTAACGGTGGTTCTTCGAGATGTGTCCCCGTGGGTGCTCCATTACCCTCCCTCCTTCCCCTGCTTTGGAGCCTTGTTCTCTAGTGGGTAGAGAAGGAACGGAGGGACCGCGCCGTGCATGCACCTGAAGATTCCAACAGCACGAGAGGGCGCTGTGGCACCTGCACGACGCAGCAGAAACTGCTAGAAAAAGTCTCCCATCGCTGGCGCGAGGACGCACCAGCACCCAGAGTGGAGCACCCACGGGGACACATCTCGAAGAACCACCGTTACTGCACAAGGTGAATAACTCCTTTTTCAAGTGGTCCCTGTAGCTGCTCCACTCTGGGTGACTACAGAGTAGTTGTCGGCTCGTGGAGGTGAGTTTGGAGCCAGGTGGTAGTCACTGTGGACAGTACTACATGTCCCACCGCCATGGAGGATGCAATCAAAGAGGAGAGTGCATAGTGTTGTGGAAATGTGTGGTCAGATGACCAAGTGGTATCATTGCAAATGTCCCTAAGAGGAACGTCGTTAAGGAAGGCAGTTGTGGAAGACACTGCCCTGGTGGAATAAGCCGTAATGGTTTCGGGTAAGTGTTTATTGTAGAAGGTATAACAAGTTCTGATACATGAGGTGATCCATATCAACATTCTCTGAGACGAGACTGCTTGTCCTCTAGATCTTTCAGAGTAGGAGATGAAAAGCCTAGGTAAGGCTCGCCACGGCTTAGTGCAACCGACATAAAATGCCAGTGCCCGTCGGACGTCGAGAGTGTGCCATGCAGCCTGGATTGGGTTGGCATGTGGCTTCGGAAAGAAGGCAGGTAAGTGTATGGGTTTGTTAATGTGGAAGGGGGAAGGTACTTTGGGGAGGAACTTCGGATGCGGTCGGAGTATCACTCTGTCCTTTGTGAACACTGTGTATGGAGGATCGGCCATCAAGGCTGTGAGTTCGCTTACCCTCCTGCTGGAGGTAATTGCGACGAGAAACGACACCTTCATAGACAGATGAGACCGCAGGTCACTAGAGGTTCGAATGGTGGCTTCATCAGGCTTTTTAGGACATGGTTCAGATCCCAGATGGGGACCAGTGAACCTATTGGAGGGAAGGTGTTTGGCAGACCTTTAAGGAAGTGTTTAGTTAATGGGTTAGCGAGGAAGGAAACTCCATCGATAGGATGATGAAAGGCAGCTATGGCAGCTGCATGGACCTCAATAGTGCTAAGGGTGAGGCCTGACTGTTTGAGAGATAATAAATAGTCCAACAAAGTAGTACGGAAGGGAGCAGACTCCGGAGGTGTGTGTAGGTGATTGTGCCAGTGAGAAAAGCAGTTCCATTTGTATGTTTTCCTGGTGGATTGTCTTCTACTGTTGATTAATATTTCTTTCACCTGTTCCGAACAGGTAATCTCAGCATCCTGCAGCCATGAAGGAGCAAAGCGTGGAGATGGAGCTTGTGGAGGTCCGGATGGAGTGTCTTCCTGTGATGCTGTGACAGAAGATCGTGTTGGAGTGAGAAGGGGTTCGGGTCTGTCATCGTCATCCTGAGAAGGTAAGGATACCACGTCTGTCTGGGCCACGCGGGTGCCACTAATATCACCCAAGCCTGGTCCACTCTGATTTTGTTGAGGACTTTGTGTAGAAGGTGGAAGAGAGGGAACGCATAAAGAAGGGGAGCACCCCATGTGATGGAAAAGGCGTCTCTGAGGGAATGTTTTCCCAGTTCTCCTCTGGAGCAATAGAGATGGTACTTTTTGTTGCTTTTTATGGCAAAGAAGTCTATGTCTGGTTGGCCCCACTGTAGGAAGAGGGGAGTGAGAGCATGTCTGTCTTTCTCCCATTCGTGCTGATCGTGGAACGTGCAGCTTAGGGTATCTGCTGTGTCATTGAGTACTCCCAGGAGGTAAGCAGCTACTGGAGTGACCTGATGTGTGAGGCACCAATTCCAGAATTTGATGGCCTCTGCACATAGGAATGGAGATTGAGGTAGCTCCGGTGCTGTATGACTTGGTGGAGGCATGTTGATTCGGGGCTTCTTCGGAGTGGATGACGGTGCCTCTTTGGTATGGTGTTTCAGTACTGTCCAGTCTTTGTGCTGGCCCACTGGTGCGGCCGGTGCCGAGGAAACGTCCAATATTAATCAACAGTAGAAGACAATCCACCAGGAAAACATACAAATGGAACTGCTTTTCTCACTGGCACAATCACCTACACACACCTCCGGAGTCTGCTCCCTTCCGTACTACTTTGTTGGACTATTTATTATCTCTCAAACAGTCAGGCCTCACCCTTAGCACTATTGAGGTCCATGCAGCTGCCATAGCTGCCTTTCATCATCCTATCGATGGAGTTTCCTTCCTCGCTAACCCATTAACTAAACACTTCCTTAAAGGTCTGCCAAACACCTTCCCTCCAATAGGTTCACTGGTCCCCATCTGGGATCTGAACCATGTCCTAAAAAGCCTGATGAAGCCACCATTCGAACCTCTAGTGACCTGCGGTCTCATCTGTCTATGAAGGTGTCGTTTCTCGTCGCAATTACCTCCAGCAGGAGGGTAAGCGAACTCACAGCCTTGATGGCCGATCCTCCATACACAGTGTTCACAAAGGACAGAGTGATACTCCGACCGCATCCGAAGTTCCTCCCCAAAGTACCTTCCCCCTTCCACATTAACAAACCCATACACTTACCTGCCTTCTTTCCGAAGCCACATGCCAACCCAATCCAGGCTGCATGGCACACTCTCGACGTCCGACGGGCACTGGCATTTTATGTCGGTTGCACTAAGCCGTGGCGAGCCTTACCTAGGCTTTTCATCTCCTACTCTGAAAGATCTAGAGGACAAGCAGTCTCGTCTCAGAGAATGTTGATATGGATCACCTCATGTATCAGAACTTGTTATACCTTCTACAATAAACACTTACCCGAAACCATTACGGCTTATTCCACCAGGGCAGTGTCTTCCACAACTGCCTTCCTTAACGACGTTCCTCTTAGGGACATTTGCAATGATACCACTTGGTCATCTGACCACACATTTCCACAACACTATGCACTCTCCTCTTTGATTGCATCCTCCATGGCGGTGGGACATGTAGTACTGTCCACAGTGACTACCACCTGGCTCCAAACTCACCTCCACGAGCCGACAACTACTCTGTAGTCACCCAGAGTGGAGCAGCTACAGGGACCACTTGAAAAAGGAGTTATTCACCTTGTGCAGTAACGGTGGTTCTTCGAGATGTGTCCCCGTGGGTGCTCCATTACCCTCCCTCCTTCCCCTGCTTTGGAGCCTTGTTCTCTAGTGGGTAGAGAAGGAACGGAGGGACCGCGCCGTGCATGCACCTGAAGATTCCAACAGCACGAGAGGGCGCTGTGGCACCTGCACGACGCAGCAGAAACTGCTAGAAAAAGTCTCCCGACCGCGCCGTGCATGCACCTGAAGATTCCAACAGCACGAGAGGGCGCTGTGGCACCTGCACGACGCAGCAGAAACTGCTAGAAAAAGTCTCCCATCGCTGGCGCGAGGACGCACCAGCACCCAGAGTGGAGCACCCACGGGGACACATCTCAAAGAACCACCGTTACTGCATAAGGTGAGTAACTCCTTCTTCGAACAAAGGGGGTTGGTTCGAACTAACGTGTCCTGGCGCACACTTTCACTTTTTTGAGGAGTAACATTAGGTAGAACCAAGGGGTTTGGTTCGAACTAACATGTCCTGGCGCGCACTTTTACTTTTGAAACAGCTGTTGATTGGCATAACGTGCTGGCGACATCATGCTAAGGAAGCATGGGATATTTAAATCCCCGCTTTGTTGACTATTTTGAATGCCTACATTTGCATCCCTAGTTCGAACTAGGGTGTAAGTGTAGACATACCCTGAGGAACAATTGGCGGCATGCAATGGTTAACCACTCATATGCCACCACCCAGCATATTGCTGCTGAAAATCTCCGACTATAAGCACAAGAGGCTGAAATACCTAGCTTGGAGCATCCACAGGTACAACCATCTCAAAGAATTTCAGTTACCATGCAAGATGAGTAATCCTTTCTTATAATGTCTTACTGTGAAATTAGATTAAGACACCCCAAAAAAGAGATTGCTGTTTGTTTGGTCTGTAAATATAAATAAATTCCAAAAGAAAACTAGCTGCATGTTTTGAGGCTATTTGTGGCTCCAGTCCTGCATCATTGGAGTCAGAAATGGATTTGCCATTGATTTCAAAGGGAACTGATTGATAGAGCACTGCGCAGACACAAAATTTGTATCTGCATCTGTGTCTGCAAAAATAAGCTGTGGATATCCGCATACACATCTGCCAATATAAAGCATATATCTGCAGATTTGCAGGGATCTAGATAAATATGTATCCACATCTCTATCCACAACAGTGAGCTGCGGATGCAGACACTCATGCATATCCATAGATTTGCAGAGCTCTACTGATTGATTCTATGTCCCTCTTTATGAGAGGCAAGGGATACAAATAAATTTGAAGTCAGTGCAGAATTTCTTAGTTTAGTCACATTTTAAAATAATTATAATATTTCAGGCTAGAAACATTGGAAGTGAAATTTCAAGAAAGGAAAAGCAACTGAAGATGCTAGAAAATAAGGTATGAGTGTGCTATTATACTATGATCGATAGAGAACTTCAAAAATTCTTTTCAGCTTTAAAGCATTAACTGCAATATTTCATATACAATTTGTGAACAGAAAAGGGATGATTATGATTCCCTCTTACAAATTTTTGCTCTGCTCCAATTATAAGTTTTTGATGGGCATCCCTCTGCAATTTTACTTGCTAGCAGTAGACTACGACTATAGCTTTACTACTCTAAATTTTAATTCGGCAAAATACTTAAGCTTTTGTTTACCTGCCACTGAAATTGGTGGGATTTATGCAAGTGATTACAGTTAAGCATATACTTAAGTGTTGTACTTGAGCATGTGCTTATGTGTTTTTACCAAGTTGGGGCCAAGAATAGTTCCAATGCGCATCAGTGAGATTAATCACATTAAAGAAAATGAGCATGCTTAAGAAGCCTTTACTGAATTGGGAAGTATCCAAAGACAAATGCAATATTTCTTAAAATATCAATCAAACTAACAAATTCTAAAAATATATTTTGACATGATTCATTATTTGAAATATTTTTGTTTTTAGTTTAACAATTTAAAGAAACAAGTTGAAAATAAAACCAAATACAATGAAGAACTACAACAAGAGGTATGTAGATTTTTTGAAAAGTTACAGGAATACAGAATACATAGAAATCCAGCTGCATTTGTGTAGAGTAATATTGTCAGATTCTGGTAATATTTTAAATAGATGGGGAGTGTATTACCTAATACGGAATCTGCTAATGTCTATGAGATTACATAACTGGTTCTTGTTTTTATGATAGTCTTAATTCTGATGAAATCTAAAGAAAATTTTGTCTATAGAATAATACTTTTTAATTATAAAACTTGTCCTACTTTTGTGAATTATTACTGTAGAAAGAGAATATTTATAAGCAGGGGTGACCCATGCGTATAGGCCGACTCGCCGTAGCCTAGGGCACCACCTTCAATGGGGTGCCTAATGATGATGTTGCACCATTGAGGGCCGTGCAGGTGGGGGTGCCGACTGCGTGTTCTGCCTGGGGCACCAGCTGCCGGCAGCCCACCTTGGGCTGCCCCTGTTTATAGGAAATTCTAATTATGTTGTATTTGAGACACAGTGTCATTAATATACTTTGACATAACTCAAGTGTTTTATTTATCCATCAGTAAGAGAAGAAATAAAAAAACTGAGTTCAGATAGTCCTCTCATGTTAAAAGCTACGGGAGTGGACTTTTTGTGAGAAAATCTCATTGAAGTTTTTTTCAAAGACATTCCCCCCCCCCTCCCCATCTCACCTTAAGGGGGCAGAGTTGTCTCTTTGTAGAAAAATCATCCAGAAACTTGGGCCATCTGCTTGGAGCTTCAGTATCAATGAAAGAGCTCTGGCCTTTGGAGATTGCTTTGTAGTGCAATCTGGGGCTGTATTACTTTTTTTCATACAAGTTCCCAGAGCAGGAGGCAGCAATATTCTGCATCCTCCTCTTTCCTTCCCACAGGTGTTACTCACATGAACCTTGAACTATGTGGAGAGTTTTCCACAGGGTCCAGAAAGGATGAAAAAACAGTGTTATTGTGCTATTTGAGCTCTTTTTCCACAAGAACAACTTCTCCATTCACAAATCTCAGGGGCAAGGGCCTGATATGGGACATGGACTGTACATTTATTTTAAAAGGCAGGAATACTAGGATCAGTCCTTAACTCCAATTCTGACTGTGCTGCTGCGGCAGTATACAGTATGCAGCAAACTGCTCTAACTGGGGATCTGAGGATTACCCTGCCTCAATTTGCCCTATGGGAGTTACTGATTTTAGCTCATGAAGTACAAAAACAATACTCCAGTATGTTAATGAAATAATGTAAATGTTTAAATACATACATTTAATCTGAATTTTGGTTTTAACAGAATAAAGTGTTGAAAAAGAAAATTGCAGCAGAAAGCAAGCAATCCAGTATTTATGAAGGGAAGGTAGGGTTATAATACATATTTCTTGTAAAAGTGAAAGACTAGCAGTTGAAGACATGGTTCTGCCTTCTGTCCAACTGAAGTCAGTGATACTATTTATGTGTTTTGAAAATTAAATGTTTAATTTTTTTGTTGGATTGTGGCCAAAATGTTCAACATCTGATTGTGTCAAGCTTCGATATATTAGTTACTTTTGGCCCCTATTGAAATCTGTAGGAATTGAGGTTCACGTAATCTTACAGGAGATGCGCTGCACGTCACAGAATCGAGCCTTTAATAAGAAATTTGTGACATTTTATCCACTGTTTCTAGGACAAGATTTCAAGAATAAATCTTGTTGGGATAGTCAGACTTCTGGTGCTGTAAGCACCCATGTACTTATCTTTTGGCTCAGTTAATACTTCTAACTAAAAGTTGGCCCAAGTTGCAATATTCACGTGCATTCATGCATAGAAGATGGAAGATTGTTGCCTAGCAGCAACCATTGGGTCAGCCTAAGTGCCCCCTGGAGTGGTGCGGATATGGCACTCACTATATAGCCTTGTTGACCTGCCAACTCCCCATTTCCTTCTTACCGCCAGTGATGGCAGCTGCAACGGGCAGGAGGATATAAAACCAGATTATGTTAACATGATGACCAATAGCACTTGAGAAAATGTTTGCTACAGGATGAAAAGTAGATTCTCCTGGTATGTCATTAGGCAGTCACTTAATGATTTGTGTGTTAAAGAAGCTAAAATCTTCCTCTGGATTTTATGGTCAAATACAGGTCTTCAGCCTGACCTCTGAGCATTGTTGCAGAACTGGAGAAACTGGCTCTGGTGCATGCACAGTAGCAATTTTATCAGCTCAGTAACTATTGAAAAATACTTGGCATTTGTAAGCTAGGCATCAAATAACCCCCAGATAATCTTTCCGTGATGTGAGAAATATGAAGGAACTGAGGTATAGCAATTAGGGGTTTTCACAAGACCTTGTTTTTAATGGCAGAGCTGAGACCCAATTTCAGTTCTGACTGGGGGACGGCTGTGACTAATGTTTCCTCTTATCTTTTCCATCCATCTGTGGAATGAATTTTCTGGGCACCAAGTCATGTGCAAATGTGCACCACCAGCAGAAACACAAAAACTAACTGTGGGTAATGTGCTTATCTGGGTGCCATTTAAATCTCTCGTGAGTAGCTGCACAAGTGCACACTTACAGGGAACACTGACTATGACATGCATTTGAAATCAGAGGCCAGGGTAATCTTGTCACTTTCCATTTTGAGAATTAGGAAGATTGGCGAGTACATCACTAGAACACGTATAACAGCCCTCTGAAACCAGCTTTAGTGTCTAATTGGGAGCTAATTATAAGTTCCTAGAGGCAGGAGAGACCCTTATGTTCTGTTGTGTCTTTACAAGGTCTTATATAATGTGTCCCTGTTCTATGACATATTACTACTATTAATAGTAATCCTGTAAATGCCAACAAGCAGGCAAGAGCTTGTTGTAGTAATGTGTGTTCTGTTCTCAAAGGCTATTAAATTGGCTTGAAATTTCATTGGAATAGGCAAGGAATTAAAAAGTTCAATCAGAGTCTCTAACTTTTTTGCATTTAGTGGTAACTTATCAGTCAATTTAGTGTGAAGAACGAAAACATTTTGTGTCTGAAAATGAACTGGAGGGGAGTGAGATTGTGGCTTTGGAAAGTCAAGAAATCACTGAGTTAGTTAGAAAGAGGCTAGACCTGAATTCCTTCCCCCCCCCACCCCCCCGAACAACCCAACCACTATTTGAATATGTTCAGAAACTACCTTCTCTCTGTCAGCAAAGTTGTTGTGTACGTAGAAATGCTTTGCTTGTATCTCCTTTTGTGGCTTGTTAGAATGGTAGGCAAACTATTTAGACAAGAGCAGGAATATATAAAACCTTCCTAATGTTTCTCTTACTGAGAGACAAACCAAGACAAGGACTCAATTAATTTTGTTTAAAAATGAAAACCCCTAGAGGTCAAATGGTGACTAGCTAACCTTTCACCTCTGTCTTGGATCCTAGATCTAATATATGACCCTACTGGTGCAGTGGAATGCATGCTTGTAGAACAAGTTTGCACAGCATCCGCCTGTTTATAAGCCAGTTTTGTTGTTTAAACACTTAACTTAAACGGGGTGAAACTCCTGCTCCTTATAGACCATTAAACAATCTGGTCTGTAGAGGTATTCTTTATTCATATTATATAAAGACTGCAAAAATCATGACTATCCCAACTAGGGATGTAAGCGACTAGTCAACTACCCGATAAGCATGTGCTTATCAGGTGGTTGGGTAGTGACTCATCTAGTTGTTTCCCCCCACCTTGCTGCTTCTATCAGAGAGAGGCAATGGGTGTTGAAAATGTTCTTCTTCAAGGAGTGTCCTCATGGGTGCTCTCCTTAGGTGCTTCAGCGCTGCTGAGCCCGTGATCGGAGATTTGTGACAAAAGTGTCCCAGTTTCCCGAAGTGACTCGTGCTGGAGGAATGCTCAAAAGTGCATACCAGACTTGTGCTAACGACTGGCTCTCCATGATATGCTGGGTTTGCCTGGATTCAAGAGGTGCATGGGCTGTAGACTATATCGATCTCGGATGGGCATGAACAGTGTCTCCACAGTCTCGGAGAGCAGAATGCCACAGAGAACTTCCCACACTGCCAGAAACTGATAAACTGATCCAGGACAGTGAGGGAGCTTCAATTAAAAATGCCCCAAATGGAGAAAAAAATCTCGGTTATGTACTGACCTTGAGCAATCCACCCCACCCAGACAGAAATCACCTGGGACGGGGTCAGAAAGAGCTGGTCCCCTCGGATTGAGCCCAAATGACCGGGAGAAGAGTAATCTTAATGAAATGTCTTACTCCTCCTCAGGGACTGACTCTCCACTACAGAAACGCTTACTCCATACTAATGCTGCACCCCAACCCCCACTACCAAAAGGGGCAAACAAGCAGCGCACTAAGCGGACCAGCAAGGAGAAAAGCCAAGACCTAAAGCACACACAACATGAAACAGATAAGCTGTGGACAGCAGCAAAGTGCAAATCCTTATCAGCACTGACCCAAAAGTCTGCGCTACCATCTGCACATCAAACTAAACTGTGTTCACACATGTTACCGAGCAGGAGTATTTTATCTGAGGTGGCACTGCCGGCACCGCAGAAACACTCGGCACCAACCTTGCACGCAAAGTAGCTGGCGTTTCAGTCAAAGCCACTGCAAAGCCCTCCTACCCTTTGCTACTGTCCGCTCCTCTCCTGATATCACAGTTCACAACAGCAGCAGAATTAGCAATTCAATTGGTAATGGGGACCCCTCTGTTTGGTACCGATGTCACCCCGAACACCTCACAGTGTACTCCCTCAACCACTCCAGACATCTCAGTGGCAATGAAGTTTAGTGATGATGAGGATGAGCTGTCTAAACTGCCACTCCTACCGAGACATTACTCTCATAAGTCTCAACAACAAACTCAATAATGGCAAACTTCACAATGGTTTCCATCACCTATCATGCCTAACTGGGGCCTCGGAACTGGGAAACTGTGCCTACTTATGGCCCAGCCTGGAATCAAGCCTGGGCCCCTTAAGGTGGAAGGACTATTGCTGCTGCCTCACCCTGAACCAGGGCCTCAGGACTATAATGAACTTTTTCCCAGTGGCCTGGACCTGAAACAGGGCTGGGCACTTGAACTATTTACCTTCCAGCCTGCCCTGAAGCAAAGCCAGGTTCTGGACTATTGATTTGGGACTATATTGGTCTGTTTCCTGGTGGCCCGGACCTGAAGCTAGGCTGGGCACTTGAACTATTTGCCTCTTGTCCTGACCTAGAGTTAGGCCAGGAGTTGGACTGTTTACCCCTTTTACCTGTCCAGACTGTGGGACTAGAGACTTGGGGGACTATTTTAAGAGTCTGCGCAGGGGAGCGGATGCACCACCCACTGACCCAGAGGCGAAGGAATCCCTCCAGGGGGGCCTACCGGCCTACACTGGGGAATATCACAGTCACCCTCCTCCCCACCCACACATACTTCAGACACACTTCCTGACGATGCTGTCATGTCTCCACCATCAACTACAGGGGATGATGTTAAGTCGTTCCAAAAGAACTTTTCAGAAGAGTGCTAGACGCCATAGAGATCCCCTTCTCAGATACTCTGCAGATGCAGCATAAGCTCACAAACATTCTACATACATCTCTCCATCCAAAACTGGCCAACCCTATGAACCATGGATCCTGCCAACAATTGCACCAACATCCAAATGAGCAGACAGAAAATACTATGTAGCTCCCACGAGAGCAGAATTCCTGTTTTCTCACCCCACACCAAATTCTCTGGTCATAGAAGCAATGAATCAAAGAGGGAAACAACAAAATACACGTACAGTTCCCAACGACAGGGATTGGAAAAGGCTGGGTAAAATGGGGGGAAAAGCTTATTCGTCAGCAAGTCTTCAGTTAAAACTACCTAACTATGTTGCATTATTAGCAAAATATACACACCACATTTTTGATCAACTAACATCTTTTAATAATTTCCTCCCAGACAGCAAAAGGGAACAGTTCAAAGCAAACATCAAGGAGGGTACATTAATAGCGCGTACAGCCCTACAGGCTGTGCTGGACTCAGCGGACACAGCAGCCAGATCATTGGCCTCAGCTATGGTAATGAGGAGGGCCTCTTGGCTTCAGCTCTCAGGCTTTCTGCGAGAGGTCCAATCCTCTGTAGAGGACCTCCCATTCAAGGGTGCAAAGCTCTTTCCAGAGTCCACAAACATGTCCTTCCATACCCTCAAGGATTCAGGGGCCACACTGGGTATCCAGGTACCTGTTACAAGACGAAAACAAAAGAGATCATTCCACCAAGGATACAGACCTGCATCGTTCAACCAATAATGACAGTATGACAATAGACGTTGACCATGACAAAACAGACACAGAGTACTGATCAGTCATCCACCCAACAACCATCAACATCTAGACAACA